CTCCTTCCTCCTGCCGGTGACCCCTCTAGTGATATAAAGATCTATATAGAATAATGAGGACCTCCTTCCTCCTGCCAGTGACCCCTCTAGTGATATTAAGATCTATATAGAGGAATCAGGACCTCCTTCCTCCTGCCGGTGACCCCTCTAGCAATATAAAGATCTATATAGAGGAATCGGGACCTCCTTCTGTGATGATTGTGTGCAATAGAGGCATAGACGTTGTACATGACAGCCATCTTGTTAGGTTTCAGCCATGTTCCCTTCTGTCCTCCCTCATCCCTTTGTCCATGGAATGCATAGCTACAAGTTGACGGATGTCAACAGGATCTCTTATCCTAAATAAAACACAGATAGATCAGCTCTAGGGCTGTAAAACCTCGAATTAGTCTGGTTTCAGGGGGTTTGCTGGAAAACCACTTCCCTCTGCCCGGTTGTAAAACAATAACTCAGTCAGTCATGACCTGTTAGGCTATTAGGGCAGAGCGTGCCATAAAACGTACATTCCACAAGAGTCATTTTTCATACAATTTATAAACTTCAGCAGGAACTGGGCACATTAATATGAAGTATATATACAGATGGATCATTTTAATATGAGTCACACAAGACCTTACATTACTATGTTAGTGCCTACAAGAGAGAAGAAGCAGTCTCTTTCCTCCTGGGTGACAAGGGTACGCTATGTTTGGTATCTTGTGTGTTCCGAACAGGGGCGGACTGACAACTCATGGGGCCCCTGGGCAATAGGGGATCATGGGGCCCCTGTGTCCTTGCCCAAACTAAAAAAAAGCCTATGAAAAAGGTACCAGGGGCATCTCATGGGGCCCCCTACTCACCCCGAGCCCTCGGGCAGTGCCCGAGTTTCCAAATGGTCAGTCCACCCCTGGTTCGGAATATATTTCTAAATATTAATCTGCCAGTTGCAAGGATGCTACCTGTACCTATTGAAGGTTATTGACCTTAGTATAAAATTGTAAGGGATTTGGTCATAACCTTGGTTACCGCCTAACACCCATCCCCAAACTGGATGATTGGTCATTTGTTCTCAGGAGACACCCCTTTAATATGGTAGAAAAAGACTGACAGCCTGGAGAAGACAGCTCTCATTTAACATCAATCAGAAAACATCTAACAGACTTGAGAGCCAAGGCAATCTTTTTGTTCGGACAATTGGACTCTGCTCAAACCAAGGATATTGCAAGTATTCTGCCTTCTGAACTCCTTTCTTTTATTTCTCTGTTGTTTTATTGCTCTCTTTATATCTTTGTTACAACTTTGTTTGTAAATATTTTTATTGCACCATTTTGACCTTTTTAGTAATAAATCCTATTTTCTGAAAAGTGTTGAACTGTCTCTAAAGCTTTTAATGCAAACTAAAGAATCTCTGACCCTGGAAGAGTGCTCCTGTATGTGATAATCCTCTGAATATCCCTGTCCCTGGAAGAGTGTTCCTGTATATAATAATCCTCTGAATATCCCTGTCCCTGGAAGAGTGTTCCTGTATGTAATAATCCTCTGATAGTCCTGTCTGAGGTGACAGTGTGTATTACAGACACTTATACTAATATCATAGTGTTACTGCTAAGATTTGTAAGTTTCCTCCTTCTCTGTAAAAAGGTGGTGGTGGCAGTGTGAAGGGTTAATTGCGTAATTAACCAGTAACAATCGCTCTCAGGCTGCTGGCACATAGATTGTAGTCCCACAAGCTGGAAAATCTTTGTTCAGGGCGCAACTGAGAGTGGCATTGTTACGCAAGTGGCAGATCGGCTGGTCCTTCGGTCACGAGTTGGTGAGAAGGGCTGAGGTCGGATGCCGCATTCTGTCATACCTTCCTCCCGCTGGTGACCCCTCTAGTGATGCATCCTAGAATTCTATTTGCTTTCCCCACTGCCTGGCCATGCTGTTTGTTCATTTTGCAACCATCTGAAATAAGTACCCAAAATCCTTTTCTTCTGAAGTGCTGGCCAACACTGTACCTCCAATGTTGTACTTTCTCAAGGGATTCTTTTTTCCTGGGTGCATTATTTTAGATTTGAAATATTGAACTGCAATTTCCACTTTTTTACCAATCTTCCTGCAATGCTAAATCCTGTTCCATGTTACAGACACCTCCAGGGATATCCTCCCTATTACACACCTTTGTGTCATCAGCAAAGAGACATCCCCTTACCCAACAACCCTTTAGTTCTATCACTTACATATAGATTGTACAGAGCAGCTCCCAGTACAGAGCCTTGGGGTACACCACTAGTGACTGCTCTCTGTTCGAGTGAACCCCATTTACAACCACACTCTGGTATCTCTCCTTTAGCCAACTGCACATCCACTGAACCCCCAAGGGCTAAGTCCTAGCTTGTCCAACTTCTGTATTAGATCATTATGTGGAACTCTATCACATGCCTTGCTAAAATCAAGATATTCTATGTCCACAGCACCACCCTGGTCCAAATCATTGGTAATATAGTCAAAAATGTCCAATTAGATGAGTCTGCCATGGTCTGCCCTCAGTAAAGCCATGCTGCTTTGGATCCAGCAAGTTGTGTGTTTTTAGATGATCAATGATCCTTCCTTTCAGGAGTGATTCCATTAACTTGACTACCACCGATGTTAGACTCACTGGCCTGTAATTGCCGGCTTCTACCTTGCTGCCCTTCTTGGATGGAAACACACTGTGCACTCCATTACATGAACAACATTGGGAGTTCTGTAATCATCATCTGAACAGGATACACAGGAGTTATGAGCCAATCATAGATCAGCAGGTGCCTACAGGTTACCACCCCACAGGGTTATGAGCCAATCATAGATCAGCAGGTGCCTACAGGTACCACCCCACAGGGTTATGAGCCAATCATAGATCAGCAGGTGCCTACAGGTTATCACCCACAGGGTTATGAGCCAATCATAGATCAGCAGGTGCCTACAGGTTACCACCCCACAGGGTTATGAGCCAATCATAGATCAGCAGGTGCCTACAGGTTACGCCCCACAGGGTTATGAGCCAATTGTAGATCAGCAGGTGCCTACAGGTTATCACCCCACAAGGATATGAGCCAATCATAGATCACCAGGTTGTCGGAACTGTTCTGGCTCACAGAATGAAACAGAAGGCTGAACTTATCATCTCTACATGGACATGCTGGAAGCCATTTTGTTCTGTATATTCTATTCATGGTTTCTGAACACAGATTCTAAGAGCATTCCAAGGTGGTTACAGCTTATTTTCCCAGGTTATAAATCTGGGGGGGGTATGGTGGTATCAGACGGCTACAAGATGAAGACTAGACATGACACCAAGTGGTAAGATAAATGGATGAGTCCATGTCTAGATTGGACAAAGGACACAAGAACTGGTCACAATGATTATTTCCCATGATCCTCTGGAAAGAGTGCATATTATACCTTACATTGTATATGGTGTTATTATTATGTGACAGGAATATCTGATCCAAAAATGTCAATTGTATTATTATTAGTATTACATGAAGTGAATGCTTGCTTACTTATGTCATCCAGGTTTATAATTCTATATTCCATTCCACATATATTTTTTTTTATATGAAATGGGTTGACAATGAATACAGTTGTGTTCAAAATAATAGCAGTGTGTTGAAAAAAAGTGAATAAAGCTGAAAATCCTTCTAATAGCTTTTATTTCCATCCACACAAATGCATTGGGAACACAACACATTCTATTCCAAATCAAAACATGAAGAAAAATACATCAAATTTGTGTTGTTCCTCTAAAAAAATGGAAGAAAAGTGAATATTAGACGGTTCAAAAAAATCACAGTGTTTGTATTTCTTCTTTACAAACTCCAACATTCACTATATAAACTGAGAAATGTTTGAAGATTTTGCTTTCCTTTGAATGACTTCATGAATATTTGGTTGTCGCACTGTTTCTGAGAACTGCTGTACATCTGTGTTGCATGGAGTCACCCAACTTCTGGCCCCTGTGATCAGGTATTCCAGCCCAGGATGATTGGACCACATTCCACAGTTCTTCCTCTATTTCTTGGTTTTGCCTCAGAAACGGCATTTTTGATGTCACCCCACAAGTTTTTCTATTGGATGAAGATCCGGGGATTGGGCTGGCCACTCCATAATGTCCATCTTGTTGGTCTGGAACCAAGATGTTGCACGTTTACTGGTGTGTTTGGGTTGGAACCCCCATTTCAAGGGCATTTCCTCTTCAGCATAAGGCAGCATGACCTCTTCCAGTATTCTGATGTATTCAAACTGATCCATGATCCCTGGTATGCGATAAATAGGCCCAACACCGTAGTATGAGAAACATCCCCATATCATGATGCTTGCACCACCATGCTTCACGGTCTTCACAGTGTACTGTGGCTTGAATTCAGTGTTTGGGGGTCGTCTGACAAAACTGTCTCCGCCCACTAGACCCAAAAAAAACAATCTTAATTTCATCAGTCCACAAAATGTTGCGCCATTTCTCTTTAGGCCGGTCAATGTGCTCTTTGGCAGATTGTAACCTCTTCAGCACACGTCTTTTTTCCAACAGTGGGACTTTTGTGGGGACTTCTTGCAGATAGCTTGGCTTCACATCGGCGTCTTCTAATTGTAACAGTCCTCACAGGGAACGTCACACCTTCTTTCATCTTCCTGGAGCTGATTGTTGGCTGAGTCCACGCCATTTTGGCTATTCTTCTATCCATTCCAATGGTAGTTTTTCGCTTTCTTCCACGTCTTTTTAGGTTTTGGTTGCCATTTTAAAGCATTTGCAATCATTTTAGCTGAGCAGCCGATCATTTTCTGCACTTCTTTATATGTTTTCCCCTCTCCAATCAACTTTTTTTACTCAAGGTACGCTGTTCTTCTAAACAATGTCTGGAACGACCCATTTCCTCAGAATTTCAGAGAGAAATGCACTGTAACCAGCATGTACAACATTTGCTGCCTTCCTTCCTTAAATAAGGGCGATAATTGCCACCTGTTTTTCAAAGAATGAATGACCTCAGAAACCTCGGAAACCACTAAGCAACTTCTTCACTCACTGGTTATCTCTCGCCTTGATTATTGTAACTCCCTCCTCATTGGCCAACCTCATCGCAGGCTATCCCCTCTTCAGTCTATTATGAATGCTGCTGCCAGACTCATCCACCTTACTAACCATTCTGTATCTGCCACCCCTCTCTGCCAATCCCTCCACTGGCCTCCACCCCTCTCTGCCAATCCCTCCACTGGCCTCCATTCAGTGTCCTCCACCCCCTCTCTTCCAATCCCTCCACTGGCCTCCACTCAGTGTCCTCCACCCCTCTCTGCCAATCCCTCCACTGGCCTCCATTCAGTGTCCTCCACCCCTCTCTGCCAATCCCTCCACTGGCCTCCATTCAGTGTCTTTCACCCCTCTCTGCCATTCCCCTCCACTGGCCCCTGTCACGATCATAGCGTCAGACCCCAGACCTTCTCACCAAACTCGTGACCGAAGGACTAGCCGATCTAACCCACGATGTGATGTGCCTAACAATGCCACACCCAGCTGCACCCTGCACAACGATTGTCCAGCTAATGGACCACAGATCGATGTACCGGCAGCCTGAGCGATTGTTACTGGGTCAGGGTAATTACACAATTAACCCTTCACATTCCCACTACCTCCTTTTTATACAGAGAAAGAGGAAACTCAGCAATCTCAGCAAAAACAATATAATTATTGAAATAATCATCTGCGTAACACAGGCCTGTTATACAGAGGGTTAAACAAACAGTAGCGTCTCTTTAGAGGCAGGAATTTGTAAATTGCAATAAAGCGCTATAGAAACAGTTCAACACATTCGAAAAGAAAGATTTATTACTAAAAGGTCAAATGGGTGCAATAAAATATTTATAGAAAAAGATGTAACTAAGATATATATATATAAACATACAGAGACCAACAGCACAGCAAAGAGATATCAGAGAGAGGTGAAAGGGTTAAAGGACTTGCCAAAGTCCTGCATTAGCAGATCCAAGTTTCAGAGCAAGAGGGTATGTGTCTCGCAGGTGGTATTGATGTTATAAATGGGAGACGTCTTCAACTTACTAATCTTAGGTCTGACAGCCCAATTTGTAGTTCCCCAGTAGGGGGTAGCTCTGACGCCACGGAGCAATACCCTGTGTAGGCATGGAGGTCTGGGTGTCGACCTAAACTAGAGCCAAAATCTCATATCTCATGTAGTTCATATTTGGGCTTATAACTTTTCCTATGCGCAATTGACATTCCACCCCATGGGTAGATTATTATGCAGACAAGTCTGAGGATTGATTAGAGATGAAATATGTAATTATATACTGAACGGTTCTCGAGATCTATATTTCTGCTTTCCTGCATGTCCGAGACAAGGCGAGTGACCCATCAAACTGTTCGCCTGCTCATTGTCCATCTGATGACATATCCGGTTTTTATGTACGTCTCTCATATTCCAAGATATGAGACATAGGGGAAAAATGGATTTACCAGACGTTATCTGATTCTGTCACCTACGCTAAGTTAGGTTTTATGAGGTTAGAATCTCTTTCAACTCCTGAGAAAGCTTGCCTTATCTCTTAGGAAGGTATGAAATGGCACAGCTTTTCCAAGACAGCTAGGCACCTAGCTCAGGGATGTTGATAGCTCTGGGGTTCCCTGCTGCCTTGGCCTGCCAGTGACCCACAACCAGCACACACACATGCTGGCCAAATGTCTCCTCTCAGAGAGAGGGAGGGGGAGGGAAGAATAAGGGAGAAATGGATACTCTTAACAAAATGGAGTCTGCGTCCTTCACTGTGTGTTGCACACGTTTGCGACAGCCCCCACTCAGTGTTCTCCATCCCTCTCTGCCAATCCCTCCACTGGCCTCCACTCAGTGTCCTCCACGCCTCTCTGCCAATCCCTCCACTGACCTCCATTCAGTGTCCTCCACCCCTCTCTGCCAATCCCTCCACTGGCCTCCATTCAGTGTCCTCCACCCCTCTCTCCCAATCCCTCCACTGGCCTCCATTCAGTGTCCTCCAGCCCTCTCTGCCAATCCCTCCACTGGCCTCCATTCAGTGTCCTCCACCCCCTCTCTGCCAATCCCTCCACTGGCCTCCACTCAGTGTCCTCCACCCCTCTCTGCCAATCCCTCCACTGGCCTCCACTCAGTGTCCTCCACGCCTCTCTGCCAATCCCTCCACTGACCTCCATTCAGTATCCTCCACCCCTCTCTGCCAATCCCTCCACTGGCCTCCATTCAGTGTCCTCCAGCCCTCTCTGCCAATCCCTCCACTGGCCTCCATTCAGTGTCCTCCACCCCTCTCTGCCAATCCCTCCACTGGCCTCCATTCAGTGTCCTCCACCCCTCTCTCTGCCAATCCCTCCACTGGCTTCCCATTGCCCAACGGATAAAATTCAAAACACTAACAATAACGTATAAAGCCATTTATAACTCTGCCCCAAATTACATCACCAATCTTATCTCTAAATATCACCCAAACCGTACTCTCCGCTCCTCCCATGACCTCCTACTCTCTAGCTCCCTTGTCTCCTCCTCCCATGCTTGTCTCCAGGACTTCTCCAGAGATTCCCCCATCCTCTGGAACTCTCTAACCCCAATCTATCAGACTATCACCTACTCTGTTAACTTTTAGATGATCTCTGAAAACCGATCTCTTCAATGAAGCCTATCCTGCCCTCAGCTAATACTGGAATCTTCTACTCCTCCTACCAGTCCATCCCCCACAGTTATTACCTTTTGTATCACTAAGCCCCTCCCTCTTAGATTGTAAGCTCCCAGGATCAGACCCTCCTTTCTCTCTTGTATTGAACTGTATTGTTGCTGTATTGCCTTCCATTATATTGTAAAGTGCTGAGCAAACTGTTGGCGCAATAAATCCTTATAATAATAATATTCTGTTTGTAACATTATAAAGTATCAGTTTGAGTTCATTGTATGACAACGTTGTTATGTTACAGAAGACGTGAGATAAGAAGTCTCAGTATAATGACCTCATCTTTTTGTAGGATGTATAGGTAGATTTCTCTTCTCCAGAATCACTTAATACATTATTTTGCAGTGACTTTGGTACAATAGTTTTGTCTGAAACCAAACCGTCAGAAAAGCCGTTATCTGGTAATGTAGTCATGTCCTTACTAGCCAAGGTTAAAGGTCAACCCTTGTCATGTTCCAGAAGACCCAAATCCTTCCCAAATCCTATACTGCCCCCTTCAGGTCATTGAAATCTTTATATAGAGAAATGACACCTAGTCTGAGGTCACTTTTAGGTGAAGACAAGCTTTGCCCGCCTAGGTTATGTGGGGGGATAAAAGTAAGAGACGGACAGAGAGGAGACCACATCACCAAAGAGACCTCACAAGACAGGAGACAACGGGGCAACAGACGGACACAGACACCACCCCCTGAAGTGAGCGCACTGAAAGCTGACATCACTGACACCATACAGTCCATATTGGGAACTAGAACTTTCATTTTCCTCAGATAACTTGTACTCCCCTTATATCTCCAGATACATTGTTTAGTCCGATAACGGTTCTGGTGAGCACAGGAGGGGGATGTGACGTCATTTTACCTGCAGTATAAATTATTATCATTTCACTCCTCTGGGGAAGATTGATTTTACATATCCCTGAAGCTGATTCTGGCTTCTAGTCAATGGTTTATCCGGATGTATACAGTATATATATGACAAGGTAGACTACTTCATGTAACATTACATCTTCATCTCAGATTGTAAGCGATTGGATTGGCCTGTGTATGGGATTCCAGATCAAGTCATGGCAAGGTACACACGTTGAGCGTTGAATATCTGGGTTGTAGAGAGATCACGGGGGGATTTGTATATCTGTTATGTCACATGTTGCTGAGTTACTGAATTTCCTTACACGACATTTCCAGACAGTTGGATGTAATTCATTAATATTTGGAAGTAATTGCTGGCTTGTATTTTCTCCCCATTATTGTGGATTAGATCATTGTACTGTTATCTTGTATTGTTTATTATTTATCATCACCTATTAGATTTCATCCCCATTTTGTACTGATTATATTATTAATAAATATATATTTTTGCACATTATTGCTTTTTATTTTGTCTTCCAATTATCACAAATACAGAACTGTGGGATGTCGGTGTTACTTTTGTGAGAATTAGTAGGGAATCTCCTTCATTCCAGATCCCGCCTGTTTCCATGAATTGTATACGGATTATTTCCTCACAGATAAAGTTCTGACATATTTCGGAGATCCCACCAAGATTTGCCTACATTTGAAACAGATAGAAAAAATATAATGGTGCAAGTATAGATATTTTATTGTCATTTTCTGGTTCTGAAAGCGCTGTTGTCAGTTACAAATACAGAAAATGTGTGATGTGAGAAGTGTTCCTAGTAGATGTAGCCATTCTGGTGCCGAATCTGAAGCTATTCTGAGTCAGAGAGAGATGTCAGAGAATTGGTGACATTTCAGGGGATGTCTTTTGTGAAAGATACGTTGGACATTAAGCAGGATATGAATGAATTGGGTACCTGAAATGTGGAGTAGGATTCCAGGGTATACAAATGATATCTGCTCTGATGATTCACGTGTTGCTGGCTATCTGTATTATAATAGCTGAGGATAAAAACAAAGAAAGAAAAAGAAACACGGCTGCATAAATCTCACCCAGAACTTCTTGATGTCATTTTTGAATTGGCAGAACAATTAAATAAAAGCAAAATTGGATATCAGGCCAGAGGCTGAGAACGTTAAACACTTACAAGAAAACTCCATGAGATAGAAACTCAATCTACAAACATTTCTGCTGAGATGGAACAATCGTCAGATAAAATGTTTCAATTTTAAGAAAAATTATTTGCAAAAATAAAGAATTGATCGCTTCTTTAACCACTTCCAGTCCGGACACTTTTCCCCCTTCCTGTCCAAGGCCAGTTTTCAGCGCTATCACACTTTGAATGACAATTGCGCGGTCATGCAAACACTGTACCCATATGAATTTTTTAGCATTTTTTTGAGACAGATAAAGCTTTATTTTGGTGGTATTTATTCACTGCTGGGATTTTTATTTTTTTTGCTATATAAATTAAAAAGTCCCAAAATTTTGAAAAAAATGTTTTTTCTTATAAAATTTTGCAAATAAATAATATTTCAACATAAAACCTTTGCCAAAATGTATTCCGTTATCTTTTTAGTAAAAAAAAAAAACCAAATTAGTGTATAACCAAAAATTATAATTTAAAAAAAAAATGTTTTTTAGAATATTATTTATGTTTTTTTACCTACTGTCACCCCTAGCAGTACAATGTCACCATGGTGACACTGTACTACTTGTGGGGGATGATGAAGATTTTTTTTTTACACTGATTATTTTTACACCCATAAAGGCTGTAAAAGCAATCATTTCTCCTTCACTCTGGCTACATTCTTGCAGCCATTGATAAATACTGTGTGAGCTGTGATTGGTCACAGCTTGTCACATGGTACACAAGGCTGTTGTGAATAGCCCTGTACTATGTGACCTCTGTGATCATTCACAGAATTTCACACATAGTAAGCAATGATGTCAGAAGTGACATCTAGCTTACTACTCTGCGTTCTCCCTGCATGTGATCACTGATTGGCCAATCAGTGATCACATGATTAGGACCTCACCCAGAGGTCCCGTACGACGAACGTGTTCCACTGTGTCTGGAGGACACAGCGGGCACCGGATCGCATTGCTGCACGCTCCCAGGGAGCGGCACAAGCAGGGGGCGGGGAGGCTGTTTATAAACGGCCACCTGGCCCCTGCACTGCCTGTTCTGTCTCTCCAATCTAAGCACTGAGAGTAGTGTGATCTCTGTAACTTACAGTTGTGATGAGATAGCTATAACTTCAACCTCAGTTGGATACCACAGTCAGTGACTCAATCGATAAGACATCTTGTAGATCCTGTGAAGTTTATTCCATAAACTGAGAGAATTTACACAATGAACATTCGATAGGTCAAAAGATCATAATGTTTCCTGCTCCATGACATGAGGCTAGAGCTGCAATGCAATCCTGGGAAAGGGGGAGGGCTATCTATACAACATTAACTAAACCAAAGGAAAGGGAGGAGCAGAGAAAAAATATAGAAAAACACTTAAAGGCATATGACAGTCATGTGAAACATGACACTGCCACCATCCGACCGTTTATATACAACGGCTGGATGGGAGGTGGTTAAGAATCTAGATCAGATCTCTGAGGAGTTGTCTGACTGTAAAGGGATAAAATCAACTTTAGAAATGAAATGTGAAAAGCTGAGCATTGCCAATACCCATCTCCAGCATGAGGTAGATGTCCAAAACCGCACATATCAGCAATTGGTACCGGAGACACAGGAGCTAAAAAAGATACAGTAGGGTTAAACCTTCTACTTGGCAGACTACAAATGTCATTGAACCCTTTAGCAGCTCACAACCCAGACCATTCTATGAGGCCTAAAATTGTAATCCCATTAAAAATCAGAGGCTTCAGAATCTGAGAGTAACTACAGTGACCCCCCAGATGAGGATGAAATGCCTTCCAGTAGGGAACATTATCTTCCTAAATTAAGACCCATCTCACTGCATAAACACCCCAAAAGTGAGAAAAAATCCCAGAGGCCTGTGTATGATACCACCAAAGTGATACCATTCCTAACAGAAACTGTGGGCCTCTTTACTAAGAAAGGATCGCCTTCTATAATTGATCACACAGAAACCTACGAGGAGGAGATGATAAGACATGAAGTTTGAATTTCTGACAAACAGAAAACTGAATTTGTCCCATGGGTGTCTCAGCCAAAGCACAGGAATTTCTTTACCTTCCTCAGAGAGACACGGGTGTAATAAGATGGTCTGAAGTGGTATCAGAAATAAAAGCAGAATTTGGTCCCTACCGCTCAGCTACTGCTGATAAAAAGACATTTTGACTTTAAATGTCGGCCAAATCAAAGTCCCCCGAGAGTTTTTTGTCAGTTCTCAAGAATGCCTACAGCCTGGCTGAAAAAGATCCTGATTATGACAGCCCTGAATGTGTCCAATTGTTTTATGATGCTTTGCCAAATAAAAAAGAAATGAATTTTGGCCCGAGATTACAATCCCAGAAAAACTCTGGATTGGCTGCTGACAGAGAGGACCGCCCTCTACGCTGGATTACAGCATGGGGAAGAGTCTCAGGGCAGAGATTT